GAAAATGTGTATGTTATGTAGGTGATCATGCATATGCATAGTCATTATGAACACATGAAAATAATAAATAGTACATAATGTCAACATAAAGTTTAATTAAGTCCATTTCAGACAAAGCCCCTTTATTTGTGGAATTGCTCAACAGGGTATCAGCTAAGGATATGGACTTCAATTTAACAATTGACATCAGGAAATGAGAACTGGTATCTCCAGTGAAAAATTGGAGAACATAGAACAAAGTTTGGTCATTTGATTTGAGTTAGTTTCCCAAAAGATATACCTTTCTTAAAGTGGCACTGTGAACAGCCAATGGGATGTTTTTTAAAAATTGGATAATTGCTCAACATCATACTGCATTGCTCAATACATGAAATTGTTTACCTACATAAAACCTGAAAGCTCAAAATCTGATCAAAAAATTATTTTTATTTTTATTTTATTGTGTGCCTCAAATAGTAACTAACAGAAGACAACTAAGCCTATTAAATATATCCTTGATTTATAACCACAATTGAACCCAAAATTTCCATAGGTAAGCAAGGCAGTTGTTTAGTAAGTTCTGCTCCATTTTACAATCTTTTTTTTGCCATGGTTGATGAGTGAATCACGTGGTCATTAAGCAAATCTGGTTTCCCCCTTTGGCTTGCTGTGAAGGATACAAATGGTAAACAAGTGACCCTGTGACAGTGCACCTGTCAGTTGCCAAGTGCCCAATTTTTGATCACATGACCATGGGGATGCTGCAACAGTTGTAAGTATGAAAACTGGTCATAAATCAGTTTTTTCAGTGCTGTTGTAATATCAAAAACTCACTAAATGAATGGTTGTAAGTGGAGGACTATCTGTAATCTATCTAGAGCTTTTGGGCTGTAGAACATGAAATTATTATTATTAAAGCTATTATGGTGTTGGCCTTCATTCACATCAAATTCTTGGCAAAAACCTAGGATGTTATAATGTATTGGAGTAGTATTTGTGCAGATTCAAGGAGTGTGGCGTTTTGTAATGGACAGATGGAAATTTTTGTTAATGCACAGATTTTGTATTCCAAGGCTTTTCAGTATGGTACCCAGAGTACCAATAACCACTGGGACCACCACTCCAGTTTATGCCATGATCTTTTAAGTTTGATTTTCAGAACTTGATATTTTGTGATTTTCTCCAATTCTTTGTCTTCTTTTTTTTTTTTTAATTTGATTTATATGCCGCCCTTCTCCGGAGACTCAGGGCGGCTTACAATGCGTTAAGCAATAGCCTTCATACTTTTGTATATTTATACAAAGTCAGCTCATTGCCCCCACAATCCAGGTCCTCATTTTACCTACCTTAGAAAGGATGGAAGGCTGAGTCAACCTTGAGCCTGGTGAGATTTGAACTTGCAGTAATTGCAGGCAGCTGATGTTAATAACAGTGCTTTAGTCTGCTGCGCTACCAGGTCTTCTGTTTTATTCTCTCCTCATATTGCCACATTAATTATCCAAACTTCCTCCTTTTCAACAACAGTTAAGTCAGGTGTATTACATGCCAAGACTTTTATTAGTTTTTATTAAGAAACCCCATAATATTTTAATCTGTTCCTTTTCAATCACTTCTTACCCAGTTTTCATTACTGGCACATTATAATTTTTACATATTTTTACAGATAATTTTTACAATTTTAGCAGATGACTTACAGTGTTTGTCAATGACTGAATTTTGATTTCTGATTTTCCATAAAGCTTCAGATCGTCCATAGAAAGCAAACATGTATTTTCTTAGCATTTTTTGCTGTTTAGTAGCCAAAATTTGTTTTCTTCAAAATTACTGAAAGTGGGATTATAGCAGTGACAAATGATAAAGATGATAATGAGTTTCCCTGGAAGATACCTCTCCTAATATTGACAAGCCAATATTTTTCATTTCCAACCACCTGTCTTCTATTATTTCATTATTTTTTTCTATAAATATTCTGATGTTTTTACTGACACCAGTTGTTTCCAAACATTTGCTGATACAACTATGTGGTTATGATCAAACTCCTATAAGCAATCTAAACCATATATAAATTTGTTTTTCAGTTTTCATAATTCTCCCAAACCATTTTCACAATCAGCACTTGATCTTTTGTCCTGCTGCTTTTCCTTTTATTGCCTTTGTGTTTTACTGGAAGGGTATTTTCTTTCAAATAATCTTGGGAGCTTTATGCTATTATTCCTCTAAGTAATTGAAACATTGTAGGCAAGCATGTTATTGGTTTATAGTTTCCTGATGTTTTCCCTTTCACCGGGGTGTGTTTTTTTTTTTTTTTTTGACTCAGATAAATTTTGCCAGGTTGCTGATGTCTTCTTTATGCAATAGTTCATTATGCTATTTAGTTATAATTAGATGCAAGATAGTCAGATATTTGAGCCAAAAGCCCTTCTTGTTCAGTTCCAGGAGATTACCCAGTTTTGAATCCTTTTCACTTGACCTTTCTGCTGTTGTTATATCCAGCCAGATTGGAAGGCTATGATGGTAGAATAGGAGGATCCTCCTAAAACCCACTTTCATCTCTACAGTTTTAACTGTGTTCAGCTCCAGATTGTTCTGGCTGCACCACAGGGCCAGTTGTTCAACCTGCCATCTGTATGCAGACTCATCACCATCTCAAATGAGACCACTGAAAAGGACTTTGCTTTTTTCTACTATGACCTCATACTGATTTTTTGCAACTCAGATATTTTAGCCTTATCCATACCTTATGCCATGATGCTACAAGACTGTTTTGCTTGAGAAATTAATGTCTGAAATGCTGATAACTTATTTTCTCTTTTGCTTCATACTTTGACATTTAGGTGGTAGTTCTTATTTTAGTCATTGTGTGCGAGCCTGTATTATTTTGGCAGATGGGCAGTATAAATTATTTTTAGATGACATGTTAACATTATGATTCAAATACATTATTTTAGGATTGTAAAATGACTTAATTCCAAAGTGAAATTACAATACAGTAGTTTTAGCTATTTATGATGTGAAACTTAAGCTCAAGCACCCTTCCCCCAATAATATATGACATCTACATGAGAGGACCCTTTGATATTGAAAACTGGCAGTGTTCCTCAGTGAAACGCTTTGGAAACCATAATGGTTTCCTGTCATTTCATAATCATAGCCAAAGCTGTCTTCTAGTAACTTTGATAGCTTCTTCTATCCTCTGGCATATATTTTAATGTCTTGGTTATTGAATATAATTGTTATGATGGGGAATAATCATTATTTGTTATGCAAGTAATGAACTTAAAATCTCGTTTTCTTTTTCTGTAATATTGAAGAACAATTATAGATTGGAGCCATGCTGCTAACTGCATAGCAGTGTAGCATAAAATCTTTTAAATTACAGGTAGCAGCTATATAGGTAGACATTGATTACACTATATCTGCAAATCATTCAGGAGACATTAATCCACATAATCAAAATGGAGCAGTACACCACATAAAATTGTATCTTTGAGATAAATAATCCATTGCATTTAAATTGTCTTCAAATATTTCTGGTTTCAGGGACTAGAAATCAGTTATCACTAATGGTGATTAGTTAATTTCATAGCATAGTAGATATACTTATTAGTATAGAAGAATTCTCAACCAATTTGACTTTTTTAATGAAAGCTTAAGTTGATTTTTGGAAGTTATTTTTTTGGCTTGGTTCTGTTGATTACTTTAAATTAATCTTCAGTAAAGAGGGAGATATGAAAGCAGAATTAGTCTGTGTGGTAATAATTGGAGCTGGCTAAAACTTTCATCTATATACAATGGCTTTGGAGATCAGAAATTTAATACTGTACTTCTGTAGAAGCGAAATAATTTCATCTGTTAATGTGGCATTTTTAACTAATGTGATATCTTCAAAGAAGTCTCAAGTAATACTAAATTGCATATGGGATGATTTTCCTCTTGCTTGTCATCCTTCTGGATGAGGATATTAATCATCAGTATTAGTCTCCTCATCCAGGTGCTTCCCAGGCATGTTTGGGATTACAATTCCCAATTTTTCATGATATCATAATTTTACAGTATAGTTCTGTAGGTATAGTGAGTTTTGGTCTCAACACATTTGGACAAGGAATGGTATTGATAAACCTGTGTGATTGTACATATTATTCATTGCTACAATTGCTGCATTAATCTATGACAGATCTTAGATTTGGAAATATGGAGTCAAAATAATAATTTTAGGGATTACCCTTAAGGGCTATCAACGCTGATTGATTGGACCTACACTATTTATTCTGTACTTCATAGTTTATGTGGAAATATATATTTAAATATCTCAAGTTTAGTAGGTCTTTTTTAAATCATGTGTCACAATGTATTCTACTTGGTTTACAAATTTAAAATATGCAGCCTTTTTTCTAGCTAGTACTAATTCCTCCTCTGCTGTTCTGTGTTGGAAGAACATTCAAGATTGACTTGATTAATGGCAATACAGCATTTGTATCTATTTCTACTGAAGCTTAAAAAAAAGGTGGTCTGTTTTAAATAGACAATGAATAAAAAGGAATATGCAAAACATCTCTTCTTAATTTTTCTTGATCCAAAGTAGTCACCTTCTACAGTTCATTTTTTAAAGAGAGGTTGCTTTGTGTGTGTGTCTCATGTGACATTTGGTATCTTTCAGTTCACTGAAAGCTGTTCGTTGTCAGACATGTCCTAATGAAAGGGGTGGTGAATTTTGAATAATGCCCATTCTCCTAGTAGTCCTTGTATATCTGATTGGAGCAATGGGAAAAATGGTGCTGAGAGTTCCAGAGGGAAGAGATAATCAGCAAAATATCACCTTCCATTAGTAGAGGTTTCTGCCAGAACAAAGCACAACAACTCTTTTTGTTCCTAATAGTAAACACAATCTCGTGTCTACAGCTGGAGAAACAATAGGACAGTGAAGTGTTTTATGTAAGTCGAGTAAATCTGAGAAGGCTCTGTATAGAAGAGGAAAAGTTATGGTTGGTAATAACTAACTTTTTTCCTCTTGCTTTGGGCAGATCCGTGTTTATATATTCCTCGTTTTGCACATATGCTCGAGTTTGGTGATAAGAACCATGAAGTCTCCATGACCGCTTTAAGGCTCCTGCAGCAGATGAAGAGAGACTGGATGCACACAGGTCGACGGCCGTCAGGGCTTTGTGGTGCAGGTATTGCAGAACTCGTGAATTGGAGTGTGTGGAGTGGCAATAGCTAGTGGCGGCAAAGAAATGTGTTATGTATATTTCATTTTGTAAGAAGCAGTTGCATATGTTCACCCTTAGAATGTCGTGCTTTTAGGCGAATCTGTACATACAAGTTTAATGTCAAGATGAATCAAGTTAGATATAAACTTTAGGAACTAATCTAACCCTTGGCCATAAACCAGAGTATCACAGAGGTCATATTATTCCACAAGCAGAAAGTGTAGATTACCTATAAGGCATTGTATAAAAGTTGTATAAAAGAACATGAAAACAGTGGATTACACTGAATCTAAATCTTATGTTTTAACTGAATAACTGATAGTTATTCATTCTAATTATATTTAGCAATATCTTGGCATAAATATATTAAGCGTGTATTTATTAAATTTGTTTGCTGCCGAGTTTGCCATGATCAGGGCAAGTAGGTCAAGCTACAGTACTTCCATGGCCTATAAATAAGAATATTTTAGAACCAAAGTATATACTATAGGCAGATCCATGGGACAAAACCCTAAAACAGACTTTTCTAAGGAAAAATTACTTTGGGAAGAGAATTCAATTGGTAAATTGCAAGAGCTGTTTTTGCTTTCTCCAATGTCTTGGAGAGGCAAGTATGTTTGAAGCAAAAAAGGGAAAAGTGGCTTATAGGGGGCACTTGGAACACAGAAGATATAAGTAGAAGAAGTATTGTGCTGCACTTCCATTTTTCTGTTATTTTGCACATGACATCCTGCTACAGTGGAGTGAAAGACTGGACCTGTTGGACAACTCTGGCAGAACTGTTGAGAGACTTGTTATATCGGACTTTTCTCCTCCAAACTGATTACCACAATAGACCACTTCAAGAACTTATCCCTGATTCTACTTTGGCTCTTCTTTCCTCTCTGCCTCTTATTTATTTCTTTTGATTATAAGCTTGTGGGTCGTGGTCCTGTCTTGTTTGACACAGGTATTAAGTAAGCTATTACAGGTAGCCCTCGCTTATGAACATTTGCTCATAAACTGCTTGAAGTTACAACCGTGCTAAAAAAAATGGAATTAAGGCCCGTGCCTGAAGTTATAGCTGTTGCAACACTCTCCCTCACATTCACATGATCAACATTTGGATATGTGGCAGCCAGCCTGCATTTTGGACCACAGGGGCGTTGCAACTTCTCCCACCTGCCTATCTCTCTCCCCCCTCTCCATTTATACCTTTTTGGACCCCTGCTTTTCTGTGCTCTGCCGCCCCAGCTTATCCTTGCTTTTTCTTGCTCCCAGTGCTGATGATGCATTCACGACCTGATCTTTCATGCCAACAAGCCCCACTGCGAAGCCAGCAAAAGCAATCTGGTAAAAGCAAACCCTTTTGCATAAAGCCGGTGAAAACAATGCGCCATGCTGCTGCGATGGGCTTCCTTCTCTACCACAAGAAGCAGAAGCAAGCAAGAAACAGCTATAGATCTGCAGCATGCCAGAAAACCCACCCCAACCCGACCCAGCAGTATGGTGCAAATGGGCTTGCTTTTGTCAACTGCGCAGGAAGGGGCTTCCTTTTGCTGGCTTGCTTTTTCTTCCTCTGGGACAAGGGACAAGGTAGGCATGCCTCCCTCATCAGCAGCGAGAATAAGAAGATGGGGAAGATAAGTTGAGGTGTTGAAATGCAGAATGGTGAGAGTGCTGTGTGACTGCTGCTTCCTGGGGCATGATAATAGTCCCAGAGCCACGTGAATAGGATACAGGATGGCCAAACAACAGATATGAGGGGAGATTTTGAGTCAGTCTCTTCCCTTTTGAGGTTTGGGCCTGAGAGGGACCAAGGCCAGAATGGTTTAGATTAGGTTGGGTACTCCCTTAATGATCCATGAGTCTGTGAGTGTTAAGATTGCTGTCCAAAGGCACATGATACAACCGTGCTGATTTGGCAATTTAAGTCCCAATGGTGGTAATAAATCAAGAATTAACTCAACCTGCTAAGAAGTGGTGGTGGTGGGAAATAAAACTACTTTAAAATAGTATGTTAAATAAATAATACATTTATGCTTCTGAATTTTTAAAGTGAAGAACACAGTATCTAATTAAACTATTAATGGTTTGAATTAGAGAGAAAGGATGTGTAGCCATTTTAGAATAGAATAGAATAACAGAGTTGGAAGGGACCTTGGAGGTCTTCTAGTCCTACCCCCTGCTTAGACAGGAAACCCTACACCACTTCAGACAAATGGTTACCCAACATCTTTTTAAAAACTTCCAGTGTTGGAGCATTCACAATTTCTGGAGGCAAGTTGTTCCACTTATTAATTGTTCTAACTGTCAGGAAATTTCTCCTTAGTTCTAAGTTGTTTCTGTCCTTGATTAGTTTCCACCCATTGCTTCTTGTCCTACCCTTAGGTGCTTTGGAGAATAGCTTAGCTCCCTCTTCTTTGTGGCAGCCACTGAGATATTGGAACACTGCTATCATGTCTCTCCTAGTCCTTCTTTTCATTAAACTAGACATACCCAGTTCCTGCAACTGTTCTTCATATGTTTTAGCCTCCAGTCCTCTAATAATCTTTGTGGCTCTTTTCTGCACTCTTTTTGAGTCTCCACATCTTTTTTATATTTCTTTTCCTTTTTTATTTCTTCCCAAGTAAAATATTTTTAGTTGGCAGCCACCAATTAATATTTCAATTGTGGCTTTCTTCCTGCACCTAGTAGAAGATGAACAGAATTGTTGAGATATAGCAATAGCAAGAGGACATAGACTTATATACCACTTCCTACGGTAGTGCTTTATAGCCCTCTCTTAGCAGTTTACAGAGTCAGTATATTGCCTCCAACAATCTGGGTCTTCATTTTACCGACCTCGAAAGGATGGAAGCAGTGGTGAAATCCAATTTTTTTTACTACTGGTTCTGTGGGCGTGGCTTGGTGGGCGTGGTGGGTGTGGCTTGGGCGTGGTAGGGGAAGGATACTGCAAAATCCCCATTCCCTTCCCACTCCTGGGGGAAGGATATTGCAAAATCTCCATTCCCACCCCACTCTGGGGCCAGCCAGAAGTTGTATTTGTTAGTTCTCCGAACTATTCAAAATTTCCACTACTAGTTCTCCGAACTGCTCAAAATTTCCACTACCAGTTCTCTAGAACCTGTCAGAACCTGCTGGATTTCACCCCTGGATGGAAGGCTGAGTCAACTTTGAGCCAGTCAAAATCAAACACCTGGCAGTGGAATGCACTGTTAGCCTGCAAATACTGCATTCTAACCACTGCACTACCACGGCTCTTATGAGCTTTTCTGTGTTGTGGAAAATATACAGGCATACAGTATCTCCCAACTTTAACATAAAAACACTGTTGAGGATCTCTGAACCTCAAATTGAAACACTGGAAGCACTGAATGATGTTATGCAATTACTTTTTATTTAGATAATTTTGCTATGTAAATACGGCATGGTAAAAATGGAATATATGTACAAGTTTTGAAATAATGTGGGAAAAAGCAAATGCATGTGCTATTGTGGTGTTAGGACATTTTCCCCTAATTGTGTGTGCATGGATAAATGTGTATGTATGCAAGGAGGCGGTCTATCTAGGTCAAATAATTTTTAAGGTTGAATATTTGTTTGGGCTGACGTAATATTTCTGCATGCAAAGTAAATTTTTATAAAATTCCAGTTTAATCTTTCTGCAGTCCATCAGTATAGAATTTCCAATGCCGCTTATATGATTTAATGTATTCCTTTGCTTCCCTCCACCCTGGGTGCCTTTGTGATGTGATTCTTTTTTTATGTTCTAGCTCTTCTTGTTGCTGCAAGAATGCATGATTTTCGGCGCACTGTTAAAGAAGTAATCAGGGTGGTTAAGGTTGGTGAATCAACATTAAGGAAAAGGTAAGTCAAGCTTGTAATTTGCTTTATATTTTACTTGAGATTAGAGCATTTCTGAAATTTATTATTTGCTGCATGGGAAATAGATCTGTTTTCCCTTTCTTTTACGAACAGAACCCCATCCTTTGATTAAGCCATGTCTTATTTGGGGCCAAGGAAGTGTACTTTCTCTGTCACAGTGGATGCTTCCCACCAGGATGGCCCTCTAGAAGACTCTTTCTTAGGCTTTGGGTAGGCTGGTTGGAGCTTCCACCGGGTGATATGATATCTCTTTTATGTGTTGACTGGATTTGCCATCTGCTTAGTGTTTTGTGTACATTTTAGTTTTATATTGTTTTATCCTATGAGCTGCTTAGAGTCAGTTTGGAGTTGGGCAGCATCTAAATGAAACAAACAAGCAAATGAATAAATAAAATGTAGCAGATTTACATAGAATTTCATTTTTACACATTTTTTGTGAGAGAGTTACATAGAATGTCATAATGGAATATGATCAATACTGCACATGAGAGTCTAACTGGAGCTGAATCCAAATATTGACTCCATATCGACGGCAGTTCTTCTGTCTCATATTTTGGAAATTGGATGAGCAGTTGCATTTCAGAAGCTGAAATTTCATTGAGGAGATAGCGTTGAAATGACAGTTAAACATAAACATTTAGATTGGAACTAGCTACCTGCAAGCAATTGATTTGTGGAACTGATGTGAGTCATCCATGTTTCCTTCTATGTCTAAATCAGTGGTTTATGTTGCAATCCTAGGATATAACATTCTGGTCTGTTATAGATAGGCTGTTTCCTTTCCTGTTAAAAGATACTTCTTCCCAGTCATAACTGTAATTAAAATACAGAGCAGAAGCTTGGTAAATCCAATTTTATGGGTTTATGTTGGCCCAAAGCTCAGTAATGAATATATTTCTTTAGTCTTGTTCTGGAATGCTTATGGGATCTGCAAAAGATCACATCTTAAGAAAAAGATATTAATTCATATTAATGCTCCTAACCAAAGCCTACAAATAGATGGTGCACCTGAACCTGCAGGTTTCCCCATAAATTACTTCTGGAAATGTATCTTTTTCTATGTATAAAGTGTCTGCCTATTTTGAAATAAATGGAGAATGACATCCTTCAGGAAAGGGAGCTTCATGCAAAATTTTTGCAAAGTACTAGTGGTTATGGCAGCTGTTCAAATGTCATGGTTTCTACAGGGATGTAACGATGTAATTGTTTTATAGTATTTTATTTTTTATTTTTAATTATTTAAAGTAATAAATTGAACATTAAAAAACGGGAAATTTAGACTTTGGTGTTGTGGACTGTTTAAATAAAATCCATAGGACATATTTACTTTTTGCAGCTAGATAGAATGGAAGCTGATTCTCTCTTCAGTTTGCTGAAGATAAAAGGTTTCTCTTAAGCCCCAGCACTGTTTAATTTCAAGAGCACAGCTTATGCAAATGTATCAACTTTCTGAAATAATGTAATTTGGGTTTGTGTAATACAAGTATTCTGTGACTAAAAATGCCTTTTGATGCGCCATATTTAGGTTTGCAAGATAGTGATGTCAGATTATTCTTATTGTTTTATATACAAAATGTAGTTTCTTATTGTTTTTCTTGTCAAACATAATTATTTTGTAATACCATTTTTACTCTTTAATAATTTGCATTTACAGGGAACCTTAAGTTCTATTGTAACAGAAAACTTCCTGTTTTCCTGTTTACTAGAAAGTAAATAATTCCAGTATTAACATATTCATTTTGAATTACTATGTTTACAAAGTAAAGTTTAAATTTTGCCTGAAATTATTGAAATTAATAGAAGCGGCTTAGGCGAATGATTATCAATATATTCCAATATTAGTTTTGATAGTATTTTTTTTACTGTTATAACCATAGGTCATAGCCTCACACAATGCAAAAATCACTGACTTAAAATACACATTAAAAATAACAAATAAAACCTCAAATGTAGTTTGTATAAATAAACTATGTAGGAGAGAATAAAAAAGCCTATAATAAACATGGCAAAAGGATCACAAAATTTCTGAAGTAAACAAATCTGCAAAATATAACCCTCATTACTTAGATGAATCAAAAGTTGACATGACTTTGAGCAGCTGCTCAAATAAAGACTGTCACAGCTGCGAAGGTCATACTATTCTTAGGAAACAAACTTTCTAGGGGGTTGGTCAAGCCCATTTCCTTTTTTGACATTGGAGTAAATATTTCATTGTGGCTGCTAAAGAGGCAAGATGGGCAAATAATGAGGAATATCACCTTTAATATCCCATGCAATGAAGTCATAGGCAAAGGTTGTAGGGAATTTGCCTATAATTTCTATCCAGTATAGCTAAGGCACCTCCTGTATTCTGTTTTATCATGTAACTGCTGTCAACTAAAGAGGGATATGGATCAAATAATTTCATTTAAACTTGTTCTTCATAGCACACCATTGAGTAGTCTTTTTTGATATATAAATTGATGCAAATTGTTGCACTAGGCATCTTGGATTTATATGTTTGTCTTGCTGTTAAATGATGTACAATGATTTGCATTCTGAGCAGATATCATTGATGTGATGCAGGCAATTGGAAGTTGACTTGCAGGTAGTCTCTGGATTCAAACCTAACTTGCCTACAGTAATTGACATGCTTGGAATAAAACTTGACATTGGGGTTTTTTTGTGTGTGTCATATCAGCCAAAATGTGACAAAACTGGCTGATGTTATCCTTATTATTGGCAAAGAATGATGCATTTGACACAGCTACCCTTACACCTTCTATATCATATTAAAATAATTTTATGTGAAAGTCTCAATTGACCAAAATCATGATGGCAAGCAGAGTTCTATATCTTGAGTTCATTTGGTGATGACCACAATATATGCATATGGAAGATTGTGACTTTGAATGTAAGAGGAATATGTGAAAAAGCATATGAACGATCAAAGGAGATAAAAGAAAGCAAAAATATTTGTTATGCATCTGTGAAACCAAGAGAAAGGAAAAGGATGGGAAAAATATGAAATCCAGGTGATCTGCTCTGTGGGGTGGAATTGATTCATACATGAAGGGAAGTGAAGGTATATATTTAATTATGTACAAAATGGCTAAAATGTCTGCCAGAAAGAATGAATTTGGGTCATCTAAGTTAATTCACATTAAAATAGGTAGCCAAAGGCGGTCCTATTTTAATACTGTCAAGATTATATTATTTCAGAACATTTCTCAAACATACTCTCATCACTACTTAAAGGTAATCTCCACTTACAACCACAATTAGGACCAGAATTTCAATAATAATTCATGACAGTCATAAATTGAGGAACCTATGTGATTGAACCTGTTTTTATGACTATGTTTACAGTGCAGTTCAGCAAATCTTGTGGTTATAAATCCAAATCCATTTTCCCAAATAGGAATTTTTGGAGCTAGAAACCAGCAGAAAATGTCACAAATCTCAGTCTTGTGATCACAAGACACTGCAAGCAGTTGTAAATAGGAGCTGCTTTCTAAGTGCCCAAAATGCAGTCGTGTGAGGGGGGGGAGGGGGGGCAGACAGGTCATAAATCACCTTTTTTGATTACTCCGAATGATTACCAGTATATTTGACAGCCTTTAAAGATGACCTGAAACAATTGGTTCAGAATGCAACAGCCAAAGTATTGACTGGTCTACACATGATGTATACAGTATGTTCCAAGTCCAGCATAGACTTCTTATAAGTTTCCAAGTGAAATTAAAGTACATATTTTAGCCTATAAAGGTTTTTTATGGCTTTGTAGTGAGGTATTTGTAGTATTGTCTTGCACCTGATTCCCTAGGAGAAATTGCATCATCAGCTTGTGAAGATGGGGATACTTTTCAATTGGTGCATCTGCATTACAGAACAGCCTCTTCTGAAAATATGATCGGCCCCCATGCTTCTAGTTTTTGGGTTATTAAAAACTGAACTATTCTGAAGAGGTTTTGAAGTTTTAGGAGACCTGGATCCAGCTAATTCTGCATCCTACTTCTCCCAGTAGCTGGCCAGATATCTTTTGAAAACTCAGAATCAAGACAATAACTATCTCCCACTTCTTTATATTATTCTTGACTAGAAGCATGGTGCTTCTGGACTTATCATGACTTACAGCCATCAATAGACTGAAAGGCTTGTCATTCTAATTGAATAGTTTTTTAGCTGATCAACCTACTGATTTGTGGACTTATCCTCTATGAATTTATAAGCCTCAGAGCAAGCTAAGGTATAGTAAAAACTCTCTTTGAAAACCATCATTATAATTTATTTAAGCTTAAAACCTGCTGATTTAAGGCAGTAATAAAGCTTATAGCTAGTAAGACATTTTGCAGTTTCCAAATGATTCAGAAGGATTATTGGTATACAGTTTTCATTTTATTTGAGTGATAGCAAATGCATTGAATTGTAAAAGAAGCACATTCAGTTTAGCAGTTGTTTAAAATGAAGGCGCGTGAGTACAAAATTTGTGCTTTGAAATGTTTACTCAGGTCATGCACATCAACTAAATTGACAGTGTTATTTACTTTGACAAGGTAAACGTGACAGCTGAATTATTTTTCCAGGATCTATAATTATAGCTGTATTTATCACAGATTCGTAAAACATGATTGATGTTTCTCAAATAACCTCACATTATATTGCATTTATCAAGGGCACATTCAAAACAAATCTTTTTCACTAAGCTTCCCTGAGCTCAATATTTTTTTCTTGAAGCATTTAGATTTTTAAAATGCCATTAAGTAGCAGTTGAATTAATAAGTACTTATTTCATGTAACTCTCTTAAATTGTGCAAGGATCTGTTTATGAAACTGAGGGCCTCTGACAAGTTGCTTGAGATTTTATCTGGGAAAAATTCTGCATAGACTTCTCATTTGTTTTTTCTCAGCATAGACTACCAAAGAGGAACTCTTGATCATATACATTAAATTCAGAATCTCCAGATTCAGTAATTGACATCTCTGTCTAAGGCAAGGAAGGA